GTCTTGCATATACTGGTATATACATCAATTAACGATTCAGATAAGCAAAGGACTGCAACGCTGAAAACAGAACCGACTCCATAAATGTTTCCTTCCCTAGCCACGCAGTCATATCCAGTCGCTCGTTTCTGGACTACATCATAAATCAGAATTTCACGGACGCGACAGGCAAGGCGAAGCTGTACATTGCGAAGACAAACTTGGACACGGTTTTCATTAGCTACCCGATTCCTCACGGCGCCCCATACAAGCCCCAGCTGGACCGCCTCCTCCTCGCCTTTGTTGAGGTGAGTTTTCAGCTGTGTTCAGTGGAGGGCCGGAGGTTCAGTGGAATGCCGGAGGTTCATGTATTCATCTGATTATTTTTGTGGTCGTGTGTTGTAATCCCGAGTAGGGTGCATGCACAGAGAAAGCAGTTCCGACCCGCTGTAGTGTGGCAGCCCCTTGAATGAACTAAATACTGGGGAGTAAGTAGTAGGCTGAATAAGTATCACGTTTATCGATATCCTTTGGGACATAAAAGGACTATGCTTATGAAGTATCCTTTTGCGAATGCTTTATTTTCTTCCAGAATTTTCCTGATTTCAGTCCTCAGCCTATCCACCACATTCCTGTTGCGTGGTGCTTATTCCATTTGTTCCACACTGGCTGTCTCATAAACTTTGGCTGTCAGGAGCTCAACATCCACCCTGATCTCAATAGCGTCCATTCACGCGGGTTGAGCAGGCAAGAATGATCCGAGCAAACAGGAAAGCGGGTTGAAGCAGGAAAGCGGGTTGAAGCGGGCTGCTGGCGCCGACACGCTTGAACCTGCTTCCTCTGTGCATGCCCACACTTGTTGTATATGTCTAATTCTTCGTGCTACAGTCGCGGGCAAACCTGGTTTCTCTGGGCACACGCCCTAAGGAGGGGTCTTATCAAAGCACCTTCATTGCTCTTTTCTTCTCTTCAACGCCCACCCAAAAGTTATTATTTTTTTTTTTATAAAATTATAATACATGCACTTATCCAGTCACCAGTTCCTATGCCAGTACACTACAAGTATTTAGCAGCTTGATCAGCCAGTCTCTCTTCTTTCTTCAAACAGCACTCCGCGAAGCCTTTCAAATCGGGTGGGAAAACTGACTTTATTTCCTTCAAAGTCCCAACTACTTCATTTCTTCAAGGCGCCTTCTACCCCATTTCTTAGAAACTGCGTCTATTTCATGTTCTTCAAGGCCCTATTTGTTTCGTTTTCCTATCTAGTAACATCTGTCCATATCCATCATTCACAACTTCCGACCTGCATCGATTCTTCAACGTAAATGCTCCTTCCAAAAGATTTTCCTATTTTCAAAATTCTCAGCCATCTTACATCTGCTCTTTTTTAGCCTCTGTCACCTTCAGCTTCTTTTGACGTCATCTTCCGTCTATCTCTTTTCCTTATCTCGCCCATTCATCTCCGTTCTCGGCCGCCCTTTCGCTACTTTCTACCAAGGTTTAAATAAGTACTTAGATGCTTTCTACTACGTATGGCTCCCTCCCCCTCAGCACATTCTGATCTATGACTTTCCTGCAGCATCACACAAAAAGTGCAGCTCAGTCCTACCACGTGTTTTTACTTATATGTATGTATGTAAGCCCTATATATATATATATATATATATATATATATATATATATATATATATATATATGTTGTGAAAGCATGAGGGTGGTCTTGTGAGGTTCGCCCACCACTAGCCACAAGATGTGAAAGTAAGAGATTGGGTCGTAGAGCAGGTGAATGAGAGGGTTTTGCTGAGGGTTTACTGGGAAAGTGTATGTGAAACCCCACGAGAGACCCCATGGCCCAGGTGCGAGGGCGGAGCGGTGGCGAGGGACCGTCGTCTGTCTGCTGTTCTGCCTTGTTCTCTGTGTCTGACGAGAAGTTCTTTATGAAGCTATTCCTTTCGAGGGCGTGTGCTTGCTTACGCCCAGAAGTGTCATGAGATTAAATTAGAGTGAACTCCTGCGTCCGCTGAAGGAGGAAGACAGCTGCCGGGTACAGAGGTGCTCAGTGGGAACCATCCGGCCTTCGAGCATCTCGTTGACATCTATGGATTGTATATGTGTGTGTTTGCATGTATTTGTTTACATTAATGCACCCTTATTTCCAGTTTCGAAAACTTTACACGTACGATCCCTGTTCTCCAGAGCGGAATGTTCCTCAAATGGCACAAAGACCTGATGGAGGAGGTGCGCGCGCCATGTTTAATAAGCAGCGCCGGCAGGAGGGTCGCGGCGACGAAGCAACTTCCGACAGCCAAGCCAAAGCACTGACCACCGCGCACATGCAAGGACCTTTCTGTTTTTAGTATTTGGTTTAGTGCAGCTTTTTTCATTTTCCTAGTCGAGCTGGTGTCCCGTTTTCTGTCGTGTGCAAATCGTTAGTTTTTCATGTGTATTTCTTTCTTATTTTTTTTTCTGTTTATCCTATTTAATCACATCGCTTTGATAATCTGATTACAGACCGTTACGG